ACTATTGTTAAACATTGTTTACCTAGATAATTAGTTATATTGATTATTGAAAGTAGTAAAACAGAATTTTGTCACGTATGCTGAATCTTTGCTATAATTATTTTTCATGGCTTTGTTCAATTTATTTATCTTTTTTCCGATTGGTTGATCTGATCAAGTGGAAACTTTTTTGTTTGAATCTGGGTCATTTTGAAGGTCATTCAGTGATATCAAGTATTGTCCCAGTCTTCTTTTTAAAAATTTAAAGCAACTGGTCCCTTTGATAAATTTAAACAGTGTAATGAGTAGACGAAGATTATCTGAAGCATATGATATATTAGCACTATACATTTCGAACAATCTGATCACACATGGACTTGTCGTACTATTTATATGAAAATTTACGAAAAAGGTCAATGAAGTTAATAGGAAACATAGGAATAGAAAGGGATAGAAAAAAAAATGAAAACTTTACTCTTGGTATGAAAATTAAAATCAATACTACTAATGTAGGTTCAACGTGAATACGAATTGTTTCTGTATACATAAAGGGGGTTTAAATTTACGGATGGTAAGAGCTTCAATAAATTTAAGCACTCGGCTGTGACCACTTTTATGTATTACTTTAAAGGCTGTTTTTATGTCTATCCTATGGTTAGTTTCTAGTATTTGTTTAGCGATAGACGAAGATGGATGCTTGTCACCTGCACTTATCGGATCTGTCGAGGTCATTTGTTTTTGTAGCCATTTAGGTAAATGTTCAACCTTCCTTAACTGCATATCACGATTACTCCTCCCTATATATGTGTGTCCACACATACATGCAAATTGATAAACACAGTGGGATGTGATGTAATCGTTTATATGTTGTTTCGGTTTGTGTTGTAACATGGACTTGGTCCTCTCTACAATGATGACCTTAGCTGCATAATACGTTTTACAGATGGTCGATCTAAGTCTTTTCCCCACAACAAAGCTATGTGAATCACCTCTAAATGGTAATGAGATGTAGACATTTTTCTTAGTAACAGAACACTGTGTACTTTTCAATGGTACATAACTTTTGCACCGGTCGATAAATCTCAACGGGTATCCATTCTGTGTCAGAGTTGTCGTCAGTAAGTTGGTTTCTTCCTCCCTGGTGTCATCGGTGCAGATACGGTTTATCCTGTTGAATAAGCATCTGACTAAACCAGATTGTTCGAAATGTATAGCGCTAATACATCACATGTTTCAGATAATCTTCGTCTTCTCATTACGCTGTTTATTGTCCCAGTGTTTGTATCAAGCTTCATCTTATTATGGTGAATGTAATCGATACAATCTTGTTTTTGACGAATAATTGATGTTGTTAATTGTCTTCTTTGTGTTACAATCAATGCTCTATACCTTCATAAATGTTGTTTGTGTTGAATTTTTAAATTGTTTCAGCTGAGCATCTTAGTTACTTTTAATCAACTATGAAACTACTGATACCAGATAATCTGATATAGTTTTCTACTTTATTCTGAAATTGGATCACGAGTTCAGTTGTGATTATTTCGAAAAACAGCTTCAGTAGAAGTGTGTTTACCTGTCTCTCTCTTTCAGTGTGTCTGTCTTTGCAGCTGTGCACATTATGCTAACGACGGCTGGGTTAACTGCATATACCTATAACTATCAGTAGGTACTTAACTATGGGTTCAGAATTGGAAATTTTCTAGTCGTGGAGTCGGTCACTGTGCAAGCGAGAAAGGTTGTACCCACAGAGTTGAATCATGACTTCAGTTCAAGAAATCTGATTATTGTAATGTTTTAGGGTATGCATAAATACTAAGATTTTCGGAAGAAATAGGATGATGGGTAAAATGTCATTGGAAAGAATGCTTCTAACAGTATCAGCTAAGACTACACTTTCGCCTGGGAGCCTTAGTCAAAAACCAATGATTAGATTTAAAGCCTTTCCAGTTCTCTCACGTTTTTGTGACTGAGTTCTATTGAGGCTTCGAATAATTAGTAAACCTAGAATCTTAGACGTTATGTTGGTCAGGTTAATTACTTTTCGAACATCACATAGGGAATTTCTCTCCATTATTGAGAACTTAAACAAAGATTGAGAAAAGGCAGAAAGAATCATATTTTACTTCCCTACTCCCAGCTGAATACTTCAGTCATTCTAACCAACTACCTGCAGCCACCTTCGTGAAATACATTTGGTGTTATCCCCCTTCTAGTTTACCTAACTTCGAGAAGAGTTGGAGGTCTTGTACCTATATTTTATTAGGATTTCAACCGACTGGTGGGGAGCTGAGAAGTACTGGGAAGTATTTCAAACTGTTCATCAAGGTTTTATCTCAAACGTACAAGTTTCCTACTTCATGGGAGCACAACTAGGTCACATACATTTGAGTTATAGTTTTAATAACTGCTGAATTTTTTACACTGTTTTCAGAATTAAATCAAGTCTCTAACTAATATTGCGCATTAAACCTGAGTTTTCAAACACTTTAGCTCCAACTACCTACAGTTTATTGCTGTTGTCTAGAAGACTGTGTCAGCTGGCATTTAAACTATTTTCAGACTTTAGTGTACTTATTGTTTACAGGAATGAATTCACATGGATATATTTATTTTAAATAAGCTGTTCATATCTATTATCCTTTCCTAATCGCTTTCTGAATGACATTTACTATATATAAAGCTGTTTCTATAATATATTCCGAATGGTATTAGGGGTCTTCGGGATAATTGACTTTTTTCATATTCCGTTATCTATTCGACCAGTTTCTCTGTGCAGGAAGATTTGACATCTTCATCTTTAAGTTGATCATGAAAGGTATACATTTATGAGTGCACTCTAAGGATGCATACATGAATGGTTAGTATTTAAGCTCATGTTTAAGTAGGAATGGTAAACTGCTGCCAACCTTGTTCTATAGCACCCTGACCGTACTCATTTTTGTGAAACACCCTAAAAGAAGTTCAAATATATTAGATGACTTTGCACAAGGAAGCAGAGTTTCAAATCCATTTCACACGGAGTAGCAATCGCCCATGGCCTAACTAGACCTAATGATCGAACATGATATTAAAAAGAGAATTAGCACTAAGGAATAGATAGCATGCCACACTAGCTACTCTCCAATGCCAGAAAATGTGTTGGGTAAATTACTATAGGAGTCAGTTACACCCTAAACATAACAATTGTCGTTCTAAACAACACGAATTCTGGTCTATCAGAAAGTCTAATATTCTTCCAGCTTTCATAAAACTTTAACGTACTGAATTCCACTAAGTTAATCTCTTTAAAATAAGTAGAATATTTAAATAATAAGGTGCTTACACTCTTTTTTCGATGGCTTTGTTTGTTCGAATTGCAAACGAATATTCTCGGTTTATTTTTCTCAGAATTTGAAGATTCAAACTGCACACTAAAGTTCATTATTCACATG